ATATCTTTATAAGTTAAAAAGGATAATGGTTATTTAAGTTTTTGTAGAGCTTGGTTAAGCTCTAATACAACAGAGAGGATTCGATCAATATCAAAACGGGACGTCCAAGAAATGTGTGCGTGTACGCGCGCGCGCGTATGTTTGTGTGTTAGTTTCTGTGTGTTCACTCGTTTTTTCTCCCAACTCGAATTGCAATTTTTTTGTGGATGATCGAACGGAAACCGTTTCATAGTTTGCAATATTTTTAAAGGAACAAAAAAAATAAAAAGAAAAAGATTCACGTGATCGTTTTCGGTACGTGAATAAATTTGTCGAATTGAATATATAATACCCCGTGAATAATTCGTCGTCGGCAACGGAAACGCAAAGATTTAAAAAAAGGCCAATGGCGGGACGTGTAGGGGTCACTTTTAAATTTAGATCCATAGGGAGAAACGATGTTGCTTACAACTACCGCTCGTGGTGGTGGTGGTGGTGGTGGTGGAAACTCTTTTTTAAACATTCATTCGCCTCGATTAGATACCGCAAAGCTGACGTCAGTGTTTGTAACTCTCAGAAATAACTGTTAGCGTTAAATCTCTGACATTTTTTTTCTTTTCCCTTTTCTTTTTTTTTCTTTTGACCGGTCTTTGATTCACGGTTGAACAAAACGTCGCATTGTGCGTTTGATTAAATGCAATATCAGCTATTTATACCTAATATATTCGGACACAATACTGCATTTTTCTTTTTTTTTTGGTTTAAAATCGTAATATCGTTATCCAAGATAAATTTAACCCTTATTGATTTAAGTCATTTGGGAAGTGACTCACAAATAAAAATATTTTATTAACAATTATATAATTAATAATTTCATATATTTATAGTACTCGTTCAACAAAAATTAATCATTTCTAACTTATAATAATTGATTCTTATAATATTGAACAACTTTGTTGAATAATACACTTATAACTTACAATTAGTGAAAATTATCAATATATAAACCTGACGACCGATAAGGGTTAATAAGCGTAACGACGTACGATTACCTAATGTAGTAGTAGTAATGTTGTACAGGTAACCCCCCTATAACACGGTAGATAGGTTCCTAGAAAATGCCGTGTTGTGTGAAACAGTACTGTATGAGACTTTTGTTTTCGGGCCATGGAGATGAAAAGAAATACTTTTCGCAACACTGTATCTTTAAGACGGCAAACCTCGCCGCGGCTGTAGAGTACAGTGTTGTTCAAAGATTTTTTTTTTAAATGAAACCGTGTTATAAGATGCCGCGTTGTAAGAGGGCAACATGTATATGCACCGCGTGTGCAATTACTTCCTGTGTCAAAAATACCGGTTCTACATCGTGTGTGCAATAATAATTATAATGAGCTATTATCAGTTATTCAGAGTAAAGTAATCGTCAAAATAAGAATTTGTTTTGTATGAATAGTATCTTTAAAGTATAGAAAAACAAAATCTGGCATTAGTTTTCATGCATCCCAAAAAAAGGAAATTTTATTAGAATTATCGAAATCTACATTTTAACAAAATATCCATGCAAACTTTACAATCGGTGTACTATTTCCTAAATATCTATTTAAAAATTATATTTTCTTTTTCATTACTGAGTTGCATTACTTTATTAACTTTAGACATTCTATTCTTAAAATAAATATTTATCAATTTTAAATGATGTATTTTTATTTTATCTCATATTATACACATGGTGTTCAATCCGCTCTTTCCAATAAAAATTTTCTGAGAAGCCAGCTGCACACACGATGTGAAATCAACTTATTTATGCGAATTCACTTACGAATTGAGTGATTTCCATAGTATAAACAAGTTTTTTTTATTACAAATGAACAATATAGAGAAAAAAATAACTCTTGAGAACCGTGTTCGAAAAAAGTCGTGGTCTCAAATGAATTAAAGTGTCAAAAATTGTTTCATGTCTCAAATTACTTAAATAATTTGCGCATTATCAACTAGGCGCACTCGTCAAAGTGAAAATGAGATCTTTGCTGGAATAATAGCAATGTTTCTTTACGCTTAAATTGACATAATGTCACATTTATTTACTTTTAAATATAAGAGATAAATCTGCAGCATAACTGAGATTTCTGTACTTTAATGGTAACATGTATACTTACAATAGGAATATATACGTCAATGTTGAAAGGTATGAGAGTTTTTCGTTGAAAAATCATCGTCAATGTCGAATCTTTCGTGTTTTTTTTCATGGGGATAGTATCATGCAAATTCCAGCTCGAATCCCATCGAGACATCGACTTTTCCATCGTCTCTTTTTCTTTCGTTTCATTAATCGTTATCAGAAAATCAATCCTTTTGCAAATAACGCGGACGCGTTTCCAGTGATTTATAGATAACAATAATCAAATATTTTGCGGATTTTGCATTTGTCTTCTTCAAACCCGTCATAATTGTCAATCTAAAATTTTCATTTTGATATTCGAGCCTCACTCGAGAACCACCCTTCAAAATCAGACCTGTCTTTCTATACGTATACTACATAAACGGATATACGCATGATCAAGAGGAAAAGAGAGGGAGAGGGAATGAGGGAAAGAGAAAATCCACAATCGTTGGTAAATATCCTAATGTTTGCATTGCACGAAACATTATACATATTAGTTTACGATTGCAGATACGGAAGGAAATTTTTGCAATTTCGTATCTAACACGCAAAAATAATATTATTTATAAATCTGACTTACGTGATATGAAATTATTTGTCCTTGAAGTGTACTACGTTTCTTTCGATTTGCAAATAGTGAACGAGAAACAGTAGAAGAGAAGCTTTTTAAGAAATGGACGCTTTTTTTAAGTATATATGTTGTCATCTAATTGTGAGCTTGAATTGTTCGTGATTGGTTTTTCAACGATCCTATATCAAATTCAATTGTGCTTGATCAGTAGCGCGTGATTACCGATCACCATCACGATTTACACCAACTTCGACACAACTTAACGTCGATTATGATGAATGCGAATAGACAAGAGGACAGATAGACAGATAGATAGATATATTGATATATTGAAACGTGGATCAAATATTCTCTGCAGAATAATCGAATGATCTCTAATTCGATAGTTATACCTACTCGTGTAAATAAAATATAATAATACAGCTCATAAAGTGAAAATTTTAATTTAAATCATTACAATTTGATAGAAAACTAAAAAATAATAAGTTCAAAACATTTCAGGATAATAAAAGAGAGAATATATAGATCATAAATATTAAGAAAATGTATGCAAAATGTTATTGGTGTTTAATTAGCATGAAAGATGAGAGATATAACCGTATGAAGAACAACGTTCCTGATTGTTACTCATGAACTCTTTCAATATACGTGTCTCTTTTTATATAGAAATCTTAGATACAAATAGGCGATATAAGAATCATAGTGCAAGGATAAAATGTCGTTAGTATTATCGATTATGTTCATACTACATTATCGATCGTTTAACTCTAGCGAATATTTCCGTTAGGCGCCTTCAAGTCTGACGTTAGGAGACACATCCGATCAATTCTATATTCTATTCGCATAACCTCGCTAAAAGAACGTGTTGCCTTGATCGTTATACGTGAAGAACGTGACTGGACATTAAAATTTTCATTAATAACTCGATTGATGAATGTAAAAGAAAAATATTAATTTATTTGCAGGGATGATCCAGGCACGCGTTGCAGTAACTTTGTTATAAAATATTAATTTAATATAATGTTAAACTATTTCAAAAATTATAACAACACACAAAATAATATCACAATTAGAATGGAATACATAAAATAATAATAAATGATAAAATATACAAAGCAAGGTTAGTTATTTTCGCGTTGCTTTGGCTTTGTTATAAAACGTTGATTTAATATAATTCTAAGCTATTTAATGAGTCAAATTAATATTCACTTATAATTTTTGGGAATTTAAATTTGACATAAAACAACATAAAATTTTTAATGTATATAATATATAATATATAAGTAACAACACACAAAATAATACCATAATTACAATGGAATGCATAAAATAATAATATACGAAAAAATATAAAAAGCAAGGTTAGTTTTGTCATATGTAAATCTGAAAAAAATGTATGACGTGAATATATCGAAATAATTGAATTTTAATACAGCGCCATCTATTGAAAACTTACAGTACCTAAAGACCTAGATAACCTTTAATAATAAATCCTTAAATTAGCAATCAAAAATAAAAAATGATCATGATAAAAACTATTCTATATTTTAAGTTGGAAAAAATCACGAAACATAAAAGAAATTGTATTAAGATTAGTTGAATAGTTTAGGAGTCCATAGCAAATCAACAATGTGACACTGAATTTTTATATATAAAAATTTAAATGCCACGCAAAAATGACTGCTTATCATTTTATCTCTAAGTATTGCTACTATCTGTATACATTTATCGCAATGTGACACGATTTTTATTTATAAAATTTAATTCACCGAACGCACACGTCCAGTGATATCATCATCTTTGATATTCCATTCGCATAAAGACTCATTCGTTACTCTTACTCATAGGGAAAAATAATACAACGATGTCTGTGTTCGTTAGACGGTGCATATGTACAAGTATCTCGTACAACGGAACGATACTCATCGACATTCCTAACCGAAAACGTAATGCAATATATATATATATTGCAAAGTTCTACTTTTTTAGGGATCTACAAACGAAACGAAATGAAATCAAATGAAATCAAATCAAACGAAATGAAATCTAACGATACGCGATATACGAACGCGACAGCACAGCGGATCAGTTTTCTTCATAGATTTATTTCTCTCCGTTCGATGATTTTAGTTTTTTTCTTTTTCCCGTTAGATTCTTATCGTTAATTCAATCCCTCTTCTATAACTTTTATTTTATCAGAATTTAAGATCTTAAGCTAGTATTATTTGATCGTATATATCAACTTATACTAATTTTAAACTAATTAAACTTTAATAATACATTTTACAGAAGTATAGCAGCATGGTATGATAAAGCGAGCCTGAAGATTTTCCCCCTTGAAAATGAAGAAACCTCATATCTTAACGTATCTAGTAATCCTACCTCTAGTGCTGGGATTTACCTTGCAAGAGGACGATCTTGTTTTCGACGATGTCGGCGAGGAAACAAGCAGTACTCCTTCGATCGAGAGACACATCAAAAATAATAATAGAAATGGGATAGAACGCGATCAAAAATTGGCAAAAGATACTATGAAGAGACATCATCGGCTCGAGAGATTATGGAATATTCCGGATGTTGTTGTTCCAGTGGGTCACGTTTTCAAGCTGAGGATCACGAGACAAGTTTTCGATGGTAGTGTAGATCGTTACGAGGTGAGTGTACTCGTATCACCTTACATCACATAATTCCTTTTTCTTTCCTATCTTCCTGGACAAATGCCAAAGAGACACTCTTGAACACCGATTCAGGATGTTGCACTCGTGTTTTAACCAATTAACACTTGCCGTCCCGATGGCACGACGTTGTTGCCATGCAAAAATTATTGAACAAGCACTGCTTGTGATTTCATTTAAAAAAATAAATATTAAATATAAATAAATAGATAAACATATAATAGTAAAAAATAGAGAGATAGGATTGAAAACAGGAACTGACGACAAGATTAGTAAAATGGCCGGCAATAAGCGAAATGATTTAAATCAATTCTATCGGCGCCAAACGAACAAATTTTGATGAAACGTGCAGACAACATAGTGTTAAAAAGACTCTGAAGTCTCCCATTGATTCTACTTTAGCAAAGAAATATTCCATCGAATTGTCACGTTTTTAGATACACGAGGCAAATGGACAAAGCTTACCTCGTTGGTTGTACTGGGACGATGCAGCTTCAACACTTCTTGGTGTTCCATCGAAAAAAGACGTGGGCAATCATCGTTTAATTGTCAAGGCTATTGGAAAATATGGCGAAAATGCTAAAGACACGTTCGTCGTTCAGGTTATCCCGGAGAAACGCGAGGAAGTTAAGCATAAAGACGGCAAGGTAATATAATTGACATTGGTTTTACATATTTCTTTTTTTTTTTTTGAATGCTTTTGTCGTTATTAACAAAAAGAAAAAAAACAGTTCATTTCGCAAACAGATTTTTTTCTCTCGTTCTTTATCTTTTCTGATGTTAACTACGTGTCGACCACTCCACGTGGTTGCTCGAAAACATTTTCTTGGCAAGGTTTCAAGCGTTTTACGTCCAGCTAGCACAACAGGTACCTATCCGCGAGTTACTAGGTCAAGTTTTGAAGCCGAACGAAAGATAATGATATGCTTTTAAGGCAAATTCTACCACGGTACTTCTTCTTTTGATCGTTTCCATTAATGCTATCATTAAACTTGGACGGACACTGATGTAAGTGAACTTTACATCTCGATTACCTTCATTAATGTTAACTATTATGTTTTCCAACGCGCCGCCATTAAAAAAACCTGATATGTTATTTGTACTGTCCAATTTATTATCTTGCACTATATAGAAATTATGAACTAAAAAAAAATACAAAAACTGTGATGACAAATAACAAAAGCAATTATTTGATAGGAAAACGATGTAAAATACAAGGTCGTCTTTTAAATTTACAAATGTTGTTCATTTATCGCTACTATCTACTAGCTAGCGATAAGTATGCTCGTACAATTCTATGGGATATCGAGTGTCAATATTATCGTACTAAAATGTATATTCTTTTATCGTTTCAATGCGAACGACGAGATAATATTGCTACATTTAAATCTCATGAAGGAATTAGTTTCGTAGACGGTAACTGATTGATGCCAATTGATATTGTCATGCGTCAGCAACTTACGAGTAAGCTTTCACAAGTGTCCAACGACCCTAATTCTTCAGGTTTCATTTACAAGGGTCGTATAAACGAAAGGCTTACAATGCGAGCACATTAAAAAGATTATTCCTTTATTTTAGACTCACTGTAAAGAAGGAGAAGACCAGACGTTGCTAACGATTTTGTTGGATGTCAAGTTTGAGAATCTCACGCCGTCCGTTAAATTAAATGCGATCGAGAATCTCGCTGGATTTTTGGGACTCCACAACGTTAGTATTTCTCCTCACATTTGAAACTCTTATTCAGCGGTGTTGTATTTCTAAAAACTAACGATTATCTCTTTTTGTTCGCAATTTTAGAGCGCATTTTCTATGCATCCTCAAAGTGGCAAACTCGAAATCACGAATCCTGATTCTCTGGTTATATTTTCTGGACCTGGTAACGTTAAACATCGTACCGAGAAACATCTGACAACTATACAGTGGCAGGTAAAATTTAATGAGATGAAATGATCGTCAAAAGTAAAATCTCGTAAAACGACATCAAAGTGTTATTTTGGACTTTTGTTTCAGGTTGGTTGCGATGGTCATTTATGGAAGCATCAAACAGATTTGGTTAAACAACTGCGAGATCAGGCGAAGGATGGGACGCTAGCGGAAGTTCTTCAACTTCCAGTACTATTGTGGCGAGTTAAGACTGACTCGACTTCTCTATCTAGAAACCGTAGAGAAGTGGGATCTGGTGATTTTGACGCCGACGATTACGAAGGTTACGATTACGACGATGATGAGTATGGGGAAGACGAAGATGGTGGTGACGATAACGAAGCTGTCACGGAAACACCATTGCAGCCAACTTTGTTTGTGCCAAATGCTAATTCGAGAGGAAACACCGAATGGTTGGAACATCCACATAGACATCATCACGGAGAAGAAACATTAGTTTTGGACGTACGAAACGAATTTAATAGATCTATACTTTTTTTTTGAGCAATCGTAATCGATGATCGATTAAACGTTTTAATGTTTTCGTTTGTTAACAGAACGAAGAAGAGATTGAAGAACGAGAAATTATCCCATATCTCGATCGAGAAGCTAATGCCTCGTTAGGTGTTTCTTCTAGCGTAAGTATTTTTATCCGAAAAATCAATTTATTTGAAAAAAATAAAAGAAAAAAGAAAAGAAAAAAATAGCTCATTGACAAATGTGTAAGATAAAACATGTGTAAAATGTGTCGCTAGATATATTAGATCTTTATCGAAAATTCTCATTTCTCGTCTACGCTCATTTGCTGTGCCATTGCTTTTTTCAAGGGATCATCGTGCTTCGAAATGTTATTTATTTATTTTTTTTTTTTTTTTTTGTTACGTCTCTCATAGAAGATAGTCCAAGTGATCGTACACAGTATTATCGCACAGTACAGTAGCTAAGCTATCTCGATAGACACACTCTGACGATGTAGGTTAATATTATAATTAAAACTTAAGCATATATAGCGTATGTCTCTATTTTGCAACGAGATAATATATCTTATTTAAGTATTTTAGCATACACTTTCGCGCTTTCCCTCTAATGTAACTAACAAAGTTTTTCGTGCCTTACGTCGCATCTACTAACGATTTCGCAGACAACAACCACCCAAATTACACCGTCATCATCTACTACAACAACCACAACCATGCCTACTACGACTACTTCAACTACTACAACGACTCAAGCTACGACAATGCCCACGAGTACAACTACTACTCCGAATACAACAACTACTACTACTACTACAACTACTACAACTACAACTAGCATGACCACGACAAGTACAATAGCAGATACAACAACTACCGCTTCGAGTACTGTCGTTCCATCAACAGAATCTACCAAGGTGGTTATCCTGGAAGATATCGGAGAAAATACTGAACTCGTGGACGTGGAATCCGTTACCCTGTTACCCACAATATCTCCCGAAATCACTACCACTCTATCATCGATTACTACTACGCTTCAATTTAGCGCAACAGCTGCTTCAAGCAGCGCTACCGGAAAAGCAGAAACAGAAGCTACCACTGTTATTGCTAACGTTACGTTCGAAGAGGTAATGCTTCTATGCTTTGTGCTTTTACATTTGTATGATAGTCCATTTTCAACTCCTATTTCGATTACCGCCTCGTCTGCATCAAATATTCACAAATTTCCTGCTTACTCGCATTACGTCGTCGTCGTCGTCAGGTGTAAAATAATTTCAAGTTTTTAAAAGAAATGTGATTTCATTTTTTTTCTTTCGAGGAATATGATCAAGGTTTATCAATTTACTATAATCTATTACTCTATTACCCTATTACATTAATTCGATTTCTATTTAGCCTACGTATGGAACAACAGTACCTGCAACGCACCAACCAACAACGACCCCGATTGCGACATCTACTACTGTTAGTAGTACAAGTGTCCCTACAACTATCCCACCCACGCAACCTGCTACGGTATCTTCTACATTTAACACAACATTAGAAATACATGCAACACCAACGACTGCGAGTACATCCAATGTTTCTGCTGTTGCTGCTGCTGCTGCTACTACTACTACTACTTCTACTTCTACTACTACTACTACTACTACTACTAGCGCTACTACAACCACTACGACTCCTCAACAACCAACTACTATCGTTACTATACCACCAACAACAGAAAATATTCTAACTCCGGTTATCAATTTACCACCCAAAAAGGACAGAAGATTGAAGAAACTTCGAGTAGTTGCTGGCAAACCATTAAGTTACTTTATACCTGCTGACACCTTCAGTGATACCGAGGATGGTAATACGAAAAATCTCAAATTGGGTCTATATCTACAAGGTGTACCGATCAAACCGACCAATTGGCTTCAATTCAATCCTCATACTCAAGAAGTCTATGGACTGTAAGTACATAAAGACCAGAATATTATAAAATTTCACGTTATTTAAATAATTTCATTGATTATACAGACCTCTAGAAAACGACATTTCTACTTGGACTTATGAATTGGTGGCCACGGATAGCGGCGGACTAAATATTTCAGATATATTAGATGTTCACGTTCAACAGCACAGATTAAGTCGCATCGTCAATCATGAATTTAGTATTTATCTGAAAATAGATAAACGCAATCGTTTTCCAACCGACGTTGATTGGAAATTACAGGTATTAGCATGAGATAGATAATGTTTTTAATTTATACTAGTATGTATAGTACGATATAACTGTTAAGTATAATATAACTGTTTTGTTTAAGGTAATCGGAAGTTTGGCTGAATTGTATGGTGACGCGGATCCACAATATATAACGGTACGAGCAATCGACATTGATCACGATCAAGCTATTTTCACTTGGATGAACGACACCTTCCCCCGGAGTAGCGAGTGTCCCAAAGATCACATAAATGAATTGTTACGCGTATGTATCAGAGATATTTATATAGAAAATATAAGTGTAAAATTCAAAATTCTTTATTTGCACTATTATCTCTGTCTTTTTAGATTTTAATCGATAAGGATGGAGACCCTAGTCCCTTATTGAGAAGAGCTTTGGAATCCGAAATAAGAGTTAAGCGTGTTGTTTTCCAAGGAATTGGCCAATGTGATGATATGAATCAATCGGCGGGAATACCTAAAATTCATACCGAAGAACCCAAAGTGAACTTCCCTCCTGTACCAAGAAATCAAGTGGATCATGTCAATGCCACCGTAGGACAGTTGCTCGTGTTCAAAGTCCCAGAAGTACATATATTTCTTTTATCTTTTATTTCGATGAGACACACACGCGAGAAATGAATTTTTTGTACATTTACAGGACACGTTCTTTGATGCAGAGGATGGATCTTCTCGTAATATGAAAATGTCTTTATTAACGATTGACCGTACACCCATTCCGGCCAATGAATGGCTACAGTTTGATAGTAAAAATCAAGAATTTTATGGTGTACCTTTACATAATGACATAGGTCGAAAGGAATATCAATTGGTCGTGACAGATAGAGAAGGTATTTAGAAATATTGAATCTATAATAATGAAGAATGAATAAAATGAAATATTGAAAATAATTTGGCTCAATTTTGTGTAATTTCAGGTGCTAGTGCTACAGATGGTTTAGTAGTTGTCGTACATCAAGCTCCGTTTATGTCGCATACGGTTGAGTTTTCTATGACTTTGGATATACCTTACGAATCGTTTGCTCATTCAGCAATGCAAAAACGTGATTTTATAGAAAAATTACGCGACTTATACAACGATCGTGATACCAGTGCTATTTCATTGCACAGCATTTCCAACGGCAGTACCGTCATTACGTGGCACAATAGAACATTACCAACAACTTATTGCGCACACGAAGAAGTTGGTAGATTACGAGCGGTATTGGTAAAAAGTGACAATGATAGGAGATCGGTGACGGACGAGGTCTTAGACGTGATGGGTGTGAAATTTCCGGTTAAGCAAATAACCGTAATACCAATGGGAATATGTCGCGGTGAATTGACGGGCGTTCATTCTCCAGATGGTAATGCACCACCCGTCGACGATTCCACTTCTGTCGGAGCATTTCACGATGATTATCTCATCACCTTCGTTCTTCCTGCAATAATAGTAGCGGCTATGCTCATTTTCGCCGGTGTCATAGCTTGCATACTTTACAAACGAAGACGCAGCGGGAAGATGAGCGTCAGCGAACAGGACGATGAGCGACAGAGTTTTCGTAGCAAAGGAATACCCGTGATATTTCAAGACGAGCTTGATGAAAAACCAGATCCAGGTACGTACTATTAAGAAATTGTATTTTTTATTTCCCATTTTGTATTTTTTTGATCTCATAATCTAATTGTTTGATCTGTGATCAGGCAACAAGTCGCCCGTTATCTTGAAAGAAGAGAAACCACCTCTTCCACCTCCGGAATATCAAAAGAGCGAAGACGGAGCTGACGTACCAATGTTACCGAAAGAAAATTCTGAGGAGCCTTACCAACCACCACCGCCGTTCGCGACGAATCGCGATACGAATCGACAAAATCGTCCAAAACCTACGCCGACGTACAGAAAACCGCCCCCATACGTGCCTCCCTAACAAAATGCAGTGCACTCGCCTACGCGCAAATATATGTTAGCTATGCTCGGAGATGCATCACCGATACACGTGCAAAAGCAAAAGGATTCTTATAAGAAATCTCAGTTTGGCGGAAACGTTGAAAATTACGGGGCTCTAAACGTTTACAGCGATCACTGAACATTGAACTTTTACTTTTATTGCACGAGGTATCAAATAAGAAACCGAAAGATTTCTTCGCGAGAAGTAATCTACTTGCACGTTTTTACTTATTACGTTTATAACTACGGACAAATTGATTGTCACTATAACTACAAGTTTAAACTGAAACGTTGGCCTTACGTTTAACGTGAACTTAAGAGAACAAACTTTTATAACCTCCATTAACGTATTTCATTGAATCTTCTTTTCTATTTCATTTATCGAAAAAGTATTTTTTAAGGAGTATGGAATACAAATCACACGTTGCCTTTCGTAACGAATTCAAACTATAAAGAAGGATTAACTGCTCCGATTGAACGAGTAAATTTAATTTAGATCATTGTAGAATCAGCAGCAGCAGCAACAGTAGCAGCAGCAACAACAACAACAACAACAGTGATAGGACGACGACAAGGTATACTTTTATTCGAAATAATGCTCAAGAGACAGCAACGACTTTCGTATTTTAGTAATCAGTACCATTTTTCTAAGCAATAAGCGTACAATTCTACCTAGCGTACTTGCGCCTATTAGATCTACGGCTTATTGCCATAATATAAACTTGACAAATCGATCAAGTTTCTTCAAGAAGTATTTGAGAATTCTAAAGAAACTTTTAATCGTATGTGCAACATATAACACTGCCAGAAAAGTAATACAATCGTTATACTATACGATGTGTAGTACAGCCGGTGATTAAAAACGTCAGTTTAACGGAACCGAATTTTAGTTCATTAACTTTAACATCTTTTAAGATTTAATCGAACTGGTGCTTAGCGGAATCATTGTTGTTTTGATAAATAAATGTTCTACAGTTGAAGAAAACCCGATGACGAGCCCTTAATTATAAAATTTTCAAAAATATTGATGATTCGTGCAATGCCATTGAAAAGTGACAGCAAAATGCTTCCATTGGCGCCGTAGGCCATTCAGATTAAAGACAAAATATAAAAATATAATAATAATAATAATAATAATAATAATAATATATATATATTATACCTATTTGCTGTTCGATAGACATTGTCTGTAAGGTATTTAGAACAAAGATATTTAAATACTGCCAGACAAACGTCGTAACAATTACGTTCTTTTATGTGTAAAAAATTCAGCATCGGTCCTACTTTTTCTTCTTTTTCTTCTTTTTCACGCACAATTCGTGGCAACGACGTTTTTTGGGAACAACAAATTGTACGATTATATCGCCGGAGAGATAAGTTTAACTCTGCCTTTTCATTTTGAGAAATTTCTATTACAATCAATTTTAACAAGGAATTTAGATCAACGTTAACGAATGATTTTTAACATTGATTTAAATACCAACGCATTCATACACAAATAATATACCTTATATAATTTAGATATTACATAGTTACCAAGCCAAAAAATAATTAATATTTAACAAATGGGGAAATGAGATTAAATAGTTAGCGCTACAAGTAAAAAAAAGAAAAAAAATTAACTAAAAAGAGAACGGGGAGAAAAATCAACGCGAAATCGTAAAAGAAAATAAAAAAAGAAAAAAAAACGTTATTCAGAACGTGTTCGGCGGCTTGTTGTTCAAGGACACGTTTTGTTTTATAATCATTTTTGTAATATTTTAGCGTAACGCTAAACACCAATGCTAATAATTTAACGTGCGGGACGCGATAAACGGGTAAAATATCTAACACGTACTACAGCCCCGTGTGTTTCTTCGATACCTCGATACTTTTTCCTGATATTTTTGAAAAAGGAAATGTAAGAAACGATTTATAACAAAAAAAAAAAAAGAAAAAAAAGAAAAGAATGAAAGAAAAAAGGAAAAGAAAAAAGAAACAAAGTATCATCCTGTGCAACCTCGAGTTTTAAAGGCGTTTCGTCTTTTATTCGTCTCATTACCGACAGACGGACAGACAGACAGATACACAGACTCCCTGACGCAACCCTAACAAAATCGCAAATATTGGGTGAAACTCCTATGAAAGTCGTGTGAATGGTAATAACTATTGTATGTAACATAGCAAATGGATGTTTCGTATGTGTGTGTATGTGTGTATGCGTGTGCAAGCTAAATTACTTGAAATATATATATAATCTATTAATTCGCGTCTTTGTAAACTCTGAGAGTTGATAACACGACGATTGAGTCCTTTTCATTATCTCTTGTTTATCGCAGAAAAACTTTTTACTAACTTTTTTACTACGTGTGCGCAGTCAAGATATTAGAGTGATGTATTCTTTCGTTTAAGAAGTCTCATGCATACACACAGATACATACACACACACACACACAAAAGTAGTTTATTTTTCTATTTTTTATTTCCTTTCTATACTATTCCTTTCTTTTTTTCTTTATTCTATAATGAAAGTTAGTTTTGATAGCAGAAAAATAATGATTATCTATCGACGCTTAATTATTAATACTTTTTTATGAATTAGGAGGTAAGAAATATAGAAGGCGCATGTAAGTATGTATTTTTCTTGTATTTATATAATCGGATAATGAAAAAAAAAGAGAAAATATTCTCCTTTAAATTCGCTGTAATGAATTTATTTATCTTTTTCGCAAGCTGCGATAAACAAGTTCTTCTCATATCATGCTTTTAATCATATCATCCATCGCTCGTGCATCTTCTTTAAAACTCTACATCGTATTATTGTGAAAATGGAGATTATGTATAATAGTCGTGTACAATATCTTCATACGTAAATATGTATATGACAAGAAACGATGCGATTTGAAAGCTATAAGAAAAATTCGTTTGAAAGAAATTCTATCGTAATGAAGGGCCCACAAGGCTCCTTTTGTCCACAAGGACTTCATTGATCGAATACGTGTATATCTTCGAAATATTTTATAATTGTATAAAGGATACGAACAAAAATGTGAAAAAAGCAAATAGACGAAGGAAGATATGCTTACGTAATATAAGTAAATGATAACAATTTCATCGTCATTTTTGTATTTCAATGTAAAATGATTTATCGATTGGACGCACTTAAATTCATGCAAAATTATTATTTGCCGAGACAAGAGAACAAAAATGGCAAGTTTATTACACTATCGTATCGTCCATACGATTTACACAATTTATATATATATATATATATATATAATATATTTAGGTATAGAGTTATAATGGCAGGTTCAACAATATTTTCATCTCCAAGATAAACGTCATTGCGTCGGTATAATTTTTCGCTAAGCGAAACAAAAAATAAAAAAAAGATTAATTTAAATTTTAAAAATTAGGAGGTAATCGCGTATAAAAGAGAGTTTTTTTTTAATATTCTAGAATGTTTTTTTTTTCGAAATGATTTTAAAGCCTACGTGCGTAGTTCAAGCACGCTCGTCGACGAGGATGAATGAATGAAATATTGAAACAATGATTATACACTTACGGAAATGTATTTATGGCAAGTACTACATATTAAAAACGTGTAAGGTTACGAGTTAATAAAAAGCCATTTTAGGGTACAACGTGTGCGTCCTTTGTACTTGTCGTCTTAAGTTTTAAGCTTTTTCGTAGGGATGTGTGAACGAAAATTCTTTTGGGTAAGATTAAAAAATCTGTAACATCGGGAAAGGTAAACGAAATCGAATCGTGACTATAAGAATGATCCTTAAAAAAAAAGAAAAAAGAACGTACGAATAGGAAGGAACGAACGAGAGTCACGCGAAAATGATCGATCGTTATACTTCCAAAGTCGAGCGGGCTACGTTTAGAGCATAATTACTATATAGACATGACTTGTGTCTCCTTTTTGTATCATTAAAATGTAAGTTCTCGCGTCGTTTTCATCAAAGTATCCAAATATACATTATGTTTTTACGAAATTCCTATTATTCATATAATTTCCCGAACTATTATAAGCTAATTTATTTTTTCTCACCGAATTTAGATTATTACTCGATCGCGATAACGTAACCACGATTATACGACATTTTTCAATTTATTTGATTATGTAAGGTGCTGAAAAGTTTGTCGGTGTTATAGAATACAATTTCGTATTCACACGGGTTGCATGTATTTCGAATTGAAATGCAGACTGAAGCTAACAATTTCTGGACGAACGCTATGCGACGACGACGACGACGACGAATACGACGTTCGGTCGTTTGCGTCAGTTGCCACAAATGAATAAATTTCATATTTTACCATCCTTTTTTGCTGACTTTCAACAATTTTCAAAAGATGCGAGTATATAATATGAACTATATACTATCAAAACCATTCAAAACAAGGAAAACGTTTTACGATATAAATTCATTTATTATAAAAACAGAGAGAGAAACATTTATGCACAAAAGAATACAATTGTTTTGTATTTTTCATAACAGATACTGTCTGATAAAATTATATCAACGATTAATAGTTGTACAGCAGGTGAGTATACGTTTTATATCGATTAAATTGAGAAAATTGGAAAGACATTCGGATCTCGGACGAATTTTGATAAACTCGAAATAACTGGAGATTTGCGGATATGCTTTGAGATAGAAATTACTGGAATTCATTAATTTTTATTGGTAGACTCGATTCATTTTATTGATATATAATGGAGGCAGAACGATGACGTTTATGAAGCACGTACTATGACATAACGTTATCGTGACAAATATTACCAGACGTTTAATAAGATGAAAGAAAGATGCGTATTTCCTCGAAGAACAACCTTACACTCCGTATAAGAGTGTTTTCCTTTTTACCGTTCTTTTGGTTCTTCGATATAAAGAACAGATCACGACCAGCTGGTCTTTTCTTTATGTTATCATACCGAGGTCTGGCGAAGTTAGTTGTAAACTATCTTAGAATACTTAGAACTCGTCTGTTATTTACACTTGTTAGTCATTTATATTTTTTTTCTTTTTCCAAGATATTCAATTGAAAGATATTTTTTGAGTGTAACAATAGGTATAAATGGTATCAACAGATGTGGCTAATTAATAACGAGTAATTTATAAAAATGATGCTTAATTTTCTCAAAAAATGCTTTCATTTTGGTTACAGACAAATATTGTATAAGAGGGGAAAGAAAAAACAATAAAACACCAGCAAGAGCACTTTTCTCGTTTTATGTACGCGCGCCTGACAAGTCCCATTGGAGTAGGGGTAAAGCCGCACGTGTGCACAATGAGCGGCGCATGCGCGTAGGAGTGAGTTTCGGTCACGTGACCGCGCGCGTTATAAACTATAGGGACGCGCCGCCGGCCGGCATTACATTCGTGGAAATTCTCGTGTAAGAAGTGGACACGACACACACAGACGGTCGTTGTTGAGTCGGAACGAGTTGGGACGAGTTGGAACGAAAGGCATCCATCCATCCATTCATTCATCCATCCCATATAAAGATTGATGAGAAAGACGAAAACGGTTCCGAAGATTATACGCTCACAATCAACCGATTTTCCAATTCCATTCTTTCACGAATAGAAAAAAGATTTCTCCTTTATTTACATTTTCTTGTGACCTGTAACGTTGCACGTATTCGCGTACACACGCACGCACTGTCGATCATTCCAAGTTCTCCAAGCATTATCCAATTCCTCCGGTCGAAATATTTCCTTTCGGAAATCTTGAGAAAGCAGAGGAAGGTGGCGCGTTGTTTGATCTAGCAAAAGAGCGGTTCAAATCGACAAAACGAGCGGGACCAAGTTATACTCGGATCTCAACTACGCGGATTTAAATTTTCGATTCATCTATAGTCCTTGCCATCCGCTATGGGTTCCAAGAACGAATGGGACTACTCAACTCGAAACGGTAAGTTTGTTTGTCCTTTATACTTTTTTTACCTCTCTCTCCCTCTCTCTCTCTCTCTCTTTCTTTCTTTCTCTCTCTTACGGAGAATAATAATAGTGTTGTACTTTCTCTTAGAATCCAACGATTTCTTTTACATTGTCTGGTCGGTTGTATATTCGAAAAGCGGTAATGAAGAAACGTTTAAAAAATATAAAAGCATCTGTTGCTTTGTTGCTGCTGCTGTGATAGCGAAAAGATGCGCATTATATTCTACTCTATGTAAATACATATGTATTTATGTATGCTAATATACGTGTATGCCCACGTCTCGTGCTCGTTTACTTTATCGTTTTACGAGTCATACAAATTAGCTCGTATTACCGAACTTATTGATTACGCGCGCGATTAGTAAAGACGCGATACGTCCGTTTAAACAATTATAATATTTTCTAGTTTTTTTAATCATTCCGATTGTCATCCTCTATACCTGGAAGCTTTCCCGTTTACGATTCTACATTGCGATAACCTCGTTCCGCGCAGCATCGTTTCGCGCGCGTTATGATTTTCGAGCTTGCGCCGCGAATAAAAATGTGATATTTGTTAATAGAGGTAAATAAACGTGATGGAAGTATCCTAGAGGGGAAAACCAAGTTTGAAATAAAGCAGAAAGACCAAGAAAGGATAATCGAAGAAAAAGTAATATCTCTTTCCGATTGTAAAGAAATTATAGGGAGTTAATTATATGTTAGGATATTAAAATCATGCGTTTTAGCTGACATGAGACATAGCAAGCTAAAGTGCATTGTCTTTTGTATGTAATAGAGGCCGTACTGGCCGTGCCAAAGACCCATGACAAAAAAACTTTTCGAAGGAGTTCTCTCGCGTAGGTCGCTCCCCTAAAGAAAGGAGTGGGTGGGGGGTAATCTCAGTGGTTTGCTCGGTAGGTAGGTAGGTAGGCAGGTAGGTAGGTAAAGTAAAATGAAAATCAATAGTTTTCCCTTCGTGCTTTCAGGCCGATGCACCTGTCCCTGTTTAAAGTGTGTAGGCACGCGCTCGTTCTTTGCTATACGTACGCGCGCGGCGGGTATATCGCATGCGGTCGCAAACGCGAGGACATCAGGTCGCAGACCCAGTTTTCGCATTGGATCATAGTAGTCGCTTTGGCTTTTGCTTGGCCCCTATTCTGCATGCCTCCGAAATCGTTCTCTTTCTTTCTACCTCCCTCTTTGCCTTACTCTCCTCTTGAACACCCTCACAATCTCGGGCCAATTTGTCGGGGGCTATCTCTGAAACGACCGCGATTGGAAGTACGATGGCGAACGCTATGATTCCATGACTATATATATAGATATATAGTATATATAGTAGATAGACGTATTCTTCTTCTTAGTATTAGCCTATACGATTATTAGCTTCGTCCCGTCACGTTACCCAAACTAAAAGAGCTTCGATTAAGTGATTTCTTTTATAAATGTCTCTCTATGTAATGTACGAACACACTACGGGGAATAAAGGGAAACTCTACAAACGCGAGGTTTTGCAAACACGTTCATTTATATACAATACAAGGAAACTTTAGAAAGTCGCTTCTTCTAAGCATTATTTCTAACCAATGGCATGCGATAATCTCATCGGCAACGCGAATGTCACGCGCTACCTTCGACTACCTAACGATTAAGGTATCCTTTTTTCTATATCCTACTTTCCGTTGTTCACGAGTCCACACATACTTACTTGTTTTCTTTTGTCTTCGTTAAGACTGCATTTAATTAAAAGGAAAATGATTTCCTTTTATCGACTTATGGATTGTTCCTCAAGTTGAATATAAATTAGCTATTCGTTGAACGGAAGGAAGTCCTTTCTTTGAAAATACAAAAATAAAAATAAAACGTAAACGCGAGGAGAATAAAGTTTAACGACTTATTAATTGCAATCTAATTGATAAAATATTTTATTATAGTCTTCGCTACGTGTTTACGTTAGATCGAACGTTCAAATTAAGAAAGATGAAGAAATTGAATATCGTAACAAGTATTGACTGCTGACATTGTTGGATAAGTTATCTTTTACGCAGTATGGGTAGATATACTAGGCGATAGATACTTTTGTAAAAGTGTTAACAGCACAAATGCATATATCGATTTGTGTTATAATAATAACCGACATGTTGCTATGTACCTTTCAGATTCGCACATTTTCTATTGGGTTTGCATTAATATTTAGAACCTTCAAATGGAAGAGTACAGAGAAAATTGGTCGGCTACCAGTTTACCAGTAGAAAATATTTTGTTTCTTTGTTTTTTTTTTTCGTTATTTAAAGGATAAGAAATAAAGGGATAAAAATAACGAGCAGATATTATTTCTAGTTGTCTAGTAGAATCGCTAATTTATTTTTTCTGCGATACCGGCTAAAGATAAAGAGAAATCACTTTTTTTTAACTTCTCTGATCCAATCCATTCAAACGGCAAGTCGTTCGTTATCGAACACTCAGTATACTCGAATAAAATTCACTTCATATTCACGAAATTATTGCAACGTATAGTCGAGCAACATATAATTCACCTAACCATTCATTTTCCTCGCGAAAAGAAAACAGTGATCTCACGTCGTTTGTAAAGTCATCGGCGCGTTGATTATACGAGACACGTGGAATTCTTGGACGTTTCAAGTTAATGACATTATTCGGAGCGCGCTAATGATCGTGCTTGGGATGCTTTTGTTAGATATCCAACAACCTGTTGACCCTTTTCATCGAACGTTGTTTATCTTCCCATCGTCGTAAGATCCTATGTTGCAAGTCATAAAATTTATCGAAATGACACGCGCAATTATTGTACTTATACCAATCGCAAGTTCTTCTTCTTCTTCGAACGCGAAAAAAAAAACGTTTTGCTGAAAATAATATTCCGAGTAAACTTTCCTCTACCTGCTGCGTACTATACTGTGTGTTTATTTGTAATCCCCAAGTCGTTTTTATAATAAAATTTCGCTTTTGTAAAAATATGATTTAAGAAAGTAGATTGAAATGAAAATGAAAAATTCGTGATAAAATAATTTTCGGCAGATCGACTTAGTAAACAAAGATATTGTAACTAGAACGTTACCATCAGTAGTTTCGTTAAGTTACCTAAATGGGTCGATGCGAATATGTATTTTAATCATCGGTATTAATTGAAATTAATTCCAAGTGCTAAGCCGAGCGTATTCGTTCAGTTAGTTAACCCAACATATTAAGGACAAGCTCAGCTTATTTTCAAGTCGGGAAGAACCGGCATCTCATAAATGGTCTTCAGTGGAAATATTATTTACCACTGGTTAGAATCGGTTTCATGGTAGATAATGAAGTATCAAAATCTCCAATTGTTATCTCGGATAAATTAGGATCTTTGAGAGTGCTCAGTATGCGAAACATAAAAAAAAAGAATACATTTGCGTTCTCGTGAAATAAAAATACTCGTTTTTACTAGCAAAGATAACGATACAGGATAAAACGACGAATAATATTCTTTTATTATCGTGCCTTTTTATCAGTATCAAATGTCGTCAACGTAGAAACAACGTTAATGTTGGGTGTATATGTGCATTTTTTTTTATTCCATTATCATAACGCTAATCGATTTAATTTTATCCAATTAGGTATTGTATTTTATATTTGCGTCTATATACAGTGAGTGTACCTTAAAATCGTATATAACGTTATGCTTACTAGATTTTTCATTCAAAACTATTTATATAGTGTATTTAGAATGAAGAAAATAAAGAAATAAATACATAAGTATACATTCATTACAATGTATTTACATGTTTAATTTAAAAACTTTATTGATAATAAATGAATTAAACTAATACGAAAATAATGTTCAACGTTCTTGGCCAGTAATGACTTTGAATTGAAAATTTTCCTCTAATAGAAAAAATATCTGATCTAAATATAATATTAGATATGTCATTTTTAAACAAATGTACTTTCTATTATTAGTATTAAACTGATTCTGATATTTTAAAAAAACTTGTTTTTACAGTAATATCAACACGTACGATTTTTCTCTATTTTTGTCTGTGATTATTTTCTATTTATTTAATTCACTTGTTATAAATAAAACTTTTATTTGTAACTCATTAAATATCTAATAAAGATATATTAATGTAATTATTTTAAAATTTTCTCCATTAAAAAATACACTATATCAACATAGTTCTCAAGGAAACATCTAATAAACGTAACCGTATTCGATTTTAACGAACACTCACTGTTTTTATATAACCCTAACTTTGACCAATGATTCTATCATTAAATCTCATTAAAACATTCAATGTATATAACCAAAAATATATAAAATAACTACAAATATTTTCTTCGTCTTCTTTAAAGAAGTTTTTAACTCTTTGAATATATTTATACTTTAAGGAAACTAAAGCTTTACGTTTTTTAATGAGCACGGAAAGACAAAGGCCACTCAGGAAAACAAAAAGAGTCGTATAAAACGAAACGAATTGATGCTTAACATTGATTAGCTCATTAAATAAGCGATCCTCTAACGCGTGTTTCGAATAATTAACTTTTAACTCGTATAATTTGCGATTGTATTCGTATAGTAGGTATGTGCATACGTGAATATACTTTTAAGTTGACTGTACCCCCGAGTATATGGTATCAATACAAATATTAAGGTTAGAAAGAGATTAAGGTAAAAGAAACAGGAAGAAGAAAAAAGAAAAAAAAGAGAGAAAGAGAATAAAAGATAGGTGCTTAGAATAGAAATGATCGAAAGAAAAAACGATCGATAAAGGACGAGATTGCGGATGATTTACACGCCCGCGCTTTTCCTGTCTTTACATAAAAGGAACGGCATCTTACTCACATTTTATTTGTCGTCGTAGGATCGTTCACGCTTTATAAAGAGCGTGCCTTTTGATTTCATAACCTAACACACGTTCTGTGAACCTCTTTCAAATATATTCATAGACTTTTACATCCTTTTAAATCATTTTTTAATCGTCAATCGTTTAATCGCATGACACGATATTATATAATAATATAATCTTAAATTTCATTGACATGGTTAAATGATTCGATCGTAAATATTATCAAAACTTTTAATTATTAATATTCTTAAAATGGCCGACTCTATTTATTATAACCGATTAAGCTGTTATTATCTTATTTAAGGTAATAATTAATAATTTAATATTTATAAATTATTAATTTTTAGCATATTTAGCTCTAACAGTTGCTCTGTTTTTTTATATATTATATTTTTTTTCTTTTTTTTTAAGAGAGAGAGAGAGATCGATTTTTGAACATCATAAATATAAGTTATAGGAACTAGTACATAACCAATAATTAATCATTCTGAAATGATTTATATGAAATTATTTAATTATGACTATCTTTTAATAATATTTTTACTTGACTGAATAATCGAGAAAAAATAATTTAAATATTTACCTTTTTTTATATGGAATGTTTTAACCGTGTCGGGTGCAAGATCATAAAAAAATAAGAAACATAAAAAACAGTTAATTTCTTAAAGGTGAAACTCCGTCGTTGATTGATCGATCGATCGATCAATCGATTGCTATTTGTCACATTTAACAATTTCCTTGTTATCAGCTGATTCATTGTCAGGAAGGTTGAACAAACGGGAATTGAATAAGGTTGATCGCTACGAAATTAAAAATAGCTTCATAATTCTTCTTCTATACTATATCTAAAATATATATAAATATATTATAGTATATTTAATTTCGCATATTTCCATCATCTCGCTCGTAACTGATTATGGTATGCTTTTAATACTACGAATAAAAATCGTACACAAGAATATATCTACATAGATAGGATTTTTCTACAAAATTTTTTGCCATATACGCGTTATTATAAACGTTATAATTTACGTTATCAAAACTACTACCGACTTCATACAGAATAATATTTGTTACATCACAGAGTGAAAAGCACAAAATGAAGAATAATTTTTGCTTATGTCACTTATATAGAGGTATACTTAAGATATTTATTTCTGCTTATCTTTGGATGTGATCTAATTATGAAGGAAAATAATATTAGATATGTATATGTGCTGACATATTGTGTTTTCTCTAACAATATTATCTTTATTGTATGACAGAATAGTAAAGATTTAAGTATATACCTATCTAATTTATTCGCTGAAAGTCGTTCAACGAAACTGCACTTGTCAAGGACTCTGTCAAGATCTTCAATGTGAATGTGCGCTTATATGTATTTATATTAAAAGAGCGTAAAACAAAGTTCTTTTATCTCTGTCATTTTCTACATACATATACCGATGATCGTACAACTCTCCGTTCTCGTGAAAGCTAAAAGAACTAGAATTACCGAACCGGTTTCTCATCGTTTCTCATCGTTCCTCGTCGTTTCTCCTCGTTTCTTCTCGTTCCCGATTATCACGACCTACCGAAATGGAAACCTTCTTTCTTCGCAAGAGGCTTCTTTTTCACTCCCCCATACGGAATTGTAACTCTACGAACGTGCTTCGTTTGTTGAATCCTTCTAACTTCGAACAACCAAACGACATTTTTATTTATCTTTATTACATTTATTTTAGTATACGTCACAGTAACTAAATATATTTAGCATAAGTTGAAATATGTACGCGATTGCATAATTGTACATAAATGCTGGTAATAGAGAGAGAGAGAGAGAGAGAGAGAGAGAGATATCCATTTATATAGACATAAGTATATCATCTATTATGTAAATTTCTTAAATTAAGATTAAACAGCATTTATACTTGATAAAGAAAATGATTAAGTAAAACTTAGAATTATTAGTTGAGAATGAGATCTGCAATAATAACGAACAAAAACTTGGAAATGCATGAGAAATATAAATATTTCCGATAACCTTTTCCTATTTTAGACAAAATATAGAATACAGATTTTCCATTTGTGTATATTTGTATTGAGAGTTTGAAAAATATTTTAGCTTTATGCGTTATGAAAATATCAGCAACGAGATAAGACGGATAAAAGTCGATACACGATTGTAATACGATCTCTTTTTATCGGGAAGCTTAGAACGGATCAACAATTTATATTTCACGCTAACTCTAGTCGCATAAAGACTCAAAGGCTTTTTAGTATTGGGCTCTCACCGATTAGCAAATTAATGACGCGCGACTCTGTTCCGCACGTGACTATGATTTCATCATCGATATTGTGTCAGACTCGAGGATACCCTTGAAACCGAGGTTTCAACGACCTTGAAAAGCAGGAAAAAGCAAGCAAAAGAAATTCAATTTTTTCGTCAAGAAAAATACCTTTTTGAAGTTATTTTTTTTCTACTTTATTTAATTGTATTAATTTCTTTCCTAGTTGTAAAAGAAAACTTCTTTTTGTTGTCCTTGTATGTTTGATCTCGTTTAAAAGAATTTAAAAAGTTGTTGATTCTTTCAAAAGGGAGAAGAGAAACATCGAGACCACAAGAACGGGATGAATCACAAGCGTTGATAAGAAGAAATTAATGGGAATCAGCTGCACGTGACACACGTAACCGATAACAATTTCGTTGAGTTTGAACAAGGAGCATGTGACTCTTTATTCTACGCGAATTAGCAAAGAATACGAGCCGAATACGATGCGAATTGCATTCTTAAGCGCATTGACCGCACTACTTTTCTTTTTCTTTTTCTTCTTTTTCGATTAGCTAGCTCACATACACATATAAGTATATCCATTCCAAATGCCCCACTATTATTACAATAAAAGGTATACGATAAACAAAAAAGTCGTCACATATCTTGATATTAGCGTCTTTCTCTTAGGGACTATCCAAATATGGTAATTTGTTCGTTGTCTCGAGATTGTTAATCCATTTCTTTATTTGATATATTACTCTAATCGTACATAAGTCGTTTTTACTCTGATAAATCCATATTATATCGATATCACTAAATGCATTGATCCTGTTGTTTCTTTTTTCTTCTTTTTTCCTTTTTATTCTTCTTTATTTCTTTTCTTTTTTTTTTCGAGATAAGAAAGCTACGTTTTTTTAACACTCTCGCTGATAAGATTAGAAAGATTTGCCATCAATTACAAAGGATATAATTTAATACGTGATAATTGCCTTTGCGATAAGAAAAAAAGTAAAATAAGTTATATATATTATATTTTTTTTGTTTTTGTTTTTCTACAGGACCCAGTACATGGGTGGAGAAATTCCCAATGGCAGCGGGCTCGAGACAGAGCCCGGTGAATATCGAAACCGATCGGGTAGAATCCGACCACGAGGCTTTAAGTAGCAAACCTCTTCGTTGGAAATATCCTGCCACTGCTTCCCGAAAGTTGGTCAATCCAGGATATTGTTGGAGAGTCGATACCGATGGTGATGGCACTTGTAAGTTATTCTCTCTCTTTCTCTTTAATTTCAAATTCATCTTCTACGAATGAGGATTATTGGTATAATATTTTTTTCTACAAAAGAATACGTTCGATCACATACATATTCAAATCACGACTGAAATCATATATATAGTATATTGAAATCATGATTTGCACGACGATCGCAAATTTCTCGAGCACCAGCACCATCACTACCACCACGACAACACTCGAGATTTGCATTTTCTACGATCTGCAATTCAATGTTGTCGGTTGCAATCGCCTTCCTGGCGCTTGCATCGTGAGAGACCTAAAAAGAATAAAGGAGGAGAGTGGAAAAGGGAGGAGGAAACGTAACACATAGTGGTCACTTCGCTTGGACGTCTAAGTGTTGGTACAAATAACACATATGTAGAGTACCATAGAGTTCCCTTACCCCGTGACCAATCGCTCTAGGATATGTTAATATTTTTCACGCCAAGATTGCGAAGCTGACTTTTTTTTTTCTTTCCAATCTTGTTACTCGGCATGACTAATTAAACACATTCCTTCGTTCGTTGTATCCTTTCGTTTGTTTTATAGTTTTTAACGAGTTAGAAATAAAACTTTACTTTCTATAATATGAACATATTTTCCAAATTCTAAAAAAAATCAATGTGTTAAATGTGTCAATGATTCCCGTCAAATAAATAACTATGAAAGTATAGATAATCTTTTTATGAGGGGTTCTAGGATGGTATTAGGAAAACTGGTACCTTTGCAAATTGCCTCGAGCGTCTTCGAAACGAGGACAAAGATATATCTACTATTATGCGTAGCATTTAAATAACTTTCTATACCTATAGTATATATATATATGACTATTTATTTTTATAGTACAGTTTTACCAGTATCGAATAATTAATCAATTTGTAAAATATCTCAAAAGAAACACTTCTTATACAATTTTTTTTTAAATATATTGTCATTCGTATCAATAATCTCAACTGATATATCAAAATGAGTACAGTCTTTATTTTTGTAATTGCATTATTGCCCCCATACCAGACCTGTACAAGTATGGTTAGTCTAATCAAGTGCATCCTGTATATAATAGAAACGTCAAAGAGATATTATACCAGAGTCTTCAGAGAATATTCCAGTTAAATGAAGCCATAGAATTGTGTGGAAATTCCACTGATCAAAAATTGACGAAAAGACGAGGAATAATGAAAAAATACAAATAATATATAATAGTTTATAACTATTATATGTTATGCTATATATTCTATTTCAACAATAGCAATACTTTATATATACTTATTATTTTTGATCTATCTTTTTAAATTATAAAATCTTATTGCTTACTCTTTACTCTCCATTATCGAATTTTTCGATCGAAAATTGATAGGGAAACGAAGAACAATGAGAATACAAATAATATGTAATAGTTTATAATTACTATTAACAATAGCAGCACTTTATGTACTTGTTATTTTAAAAAAAAAATCCATTTTTTTAAATTATAAAATTTTGTTGCTTACTCTTTACTTTCCGTTACTGAATTTTTCTAACTTACTGTATTTATATCTAACTTTTTCTATTTTCATCTCACGATGATCGACCTCAGCAGCAATTTCAGGAATGCGTCAATTTGAACATTCATTTTTTGAATGCATGTATTTTTAGATAAGACTCATACAAATTCTAAACTGAAATGTTCTTTTATAATATTTATTCACACAAATCAAACTATAAAATCTTATTATATTATTGTATTGTTTTTATTTTGATTTCTTTCATTTAAATTATAAAATTAATTAAAATTGCAGTTTTAAGCGGCGGACCTCTAATGGATGACATTTACAAGCTTGAACAATATCATTGTCATTGGGGATGCAGCGACTCCAGAGGTTCCGAACATACCGTTGATGGTCAGGCTTTTGCTGGCGAGGTATTTGTACAAAATTGTTTATATTTTCATAATCTCTAAAATTTAGCTAAAAACTGTTAACTCTTTGCGGCACAGAATTCCAGATAATAAAATAGCCCTATGTTGCATAGAAATTTTATTGCGTTTTAAATGAAATAAAATTTTTATTTCATTTAAATAATTTTATATCATTTAATATATAAATATTTAATATATTTAATATATTAATATTTCATTTAAATTTATTTTATTTAATTTTTATTTCATTTATTTTTATTAATAGAAGTATTACATAATGTTAAAACAAAAAAAGAGTAATGATTTACATTTGTAACATTTGTTAAAAATATTACTGCCAATTGTTTTATGTAAATAAGACGAAATATAAACGTATGAGCATGTAGCTATTGAAATATTTCGAGGTGGGATTAAAAACGTCCCACCGTGCATTACGGTGCATCAAAATGGTGGGACCTTTTAATACCACCGTACCCAAAGAGTTAATCGATTGAATTATATTTCAATTTTATCAGTTACTTCCCACATTTTAAAACGTGTCATTTGAAATTTACTTTAACTAATAAATGAGGCTATTTTCATATATATATTATGTATTTAATAAGACAACTGTCTTAGAAAATAAATGTCGAGTCACGCTCGACATAGAAGTGTAGAAGTGTTAAAAATTTACACTTAAAATGGAGAATAATAAAGATTCTAATAATCTATTAAAAACACTTACAAAAACATCATTGAATCATTTATTTTTACATTCAAAATTGTAATTTATAAATTAATTAAGAGAGACATTTTCACCTTATGCAATAGATATATAGTTAACATATAACATAGATAGTTAACATAAGTACATAGTTAACATTAGAAACAAAGGAAAAGTATCGTTGCTTGCGTTTTATCTCATTGATAGAGAATAATTTAGCAACACCTTTCCGAACAAATTTTTTCTACGAGTAAAAAATACAAGATTGAGGAAGAAGTAGGTTGTAGGTCGTTGTTGTTGTCTCGGTCTAGCGATCGACGTCGAGTCTCGTGTATCGTGTTGTTAATTCATTTCACGTGGAGCATGAATCACGTCGCGGTCGCTCGTTCGAACTCACGAGTTTACCTCCAATCCTAAGCTTTTTCTTTTAACAATAAGATACGTATGTAAGTTGTTTTTATGTATTCTTATTTATCTCTAGGAACACCTGAAGAATAAATAAGAAATCAGTGAGATCAACGAGAATTGTCATAGAATCGTATTTTTTTTAAACGATTTATCATTAATAATCTTGCCTTCAACGTACAATTGACTATTATTAATTAACAGGTTGATTCAAGATAACCAATTGACATTATTTTCTCTTTTAGTTATGTTCGTTACGTAAAAATGCATAGAATAAATAAAAATTCGGATGAATTTACTTATTATTATTATCTTTTCAGCTTCATTTGGTTCATTGGAACACAAGCAAGTACAAGACATTTGCGGAAGCTGCGAAAGCATCGGACGGTCTTGCGGTGTTGGGTGTGTTTCTCAAGGTAAGTTTTCACTCTATCTCTCTCTTGAAGCCCTTTTTTTCTACGGATTCCCCTTTTATGCGGGTGTACGTACACAAACGCTTATTTAAAGCTTTTACGTAAGTAAGTTTCAAGCTCTATAAGCAGAATCCGTAACAGTGGCGACGTTAATAGTATTGCTTGATAGACGATTACGTAAACGTTTGTACGGCGAAAGACGTTAAGCATTATATTTTCATGATTCTTCAAAACTGCAAGGAGGAAATTTGCTTTTCCATGCGAGCACGGATATATCGTTAACGCGAGGAATAGAACGACCACCGGGGCCACCGGATGGAATTTAAATCGATCATTTCCTTCGTCCAACGTTCTTTCTCACTTTCTGTTCCTCGCTTACTACCACACACACATACACACATACCGGAAGGATCGATTTTTCTCACGGCCATTGGTTGTAATATTTACTGTCAAAAAGAAGAAATTTTCTTTACAAGCAACGTTTATCTATAGACAAATGACGAGATTTTTACATAGATACGTGAAAATTCAAAAGATCGAAGGATATAGTCACGATGTACATAATTTATTTGAAAATCTTCTTCGTGCAATCATTTTCTTCGAATAATACGATATGATTTCTTTAAAAAAAAAAAAAAAGAAGAAAAAAGTTTTCTTAAAATGACATATATAATATGAATGGTTTTTTCTTTTCTCGATTAATTTTAATTTTTTTTCACGATACGAAACTTTACTCACACTGTAATCAGAAATGAATACCGTTTGTTTATTACGAATCGCGTAATAAAAGTTAGCGTTCACGTAGTTTATATATTCGTTGCATAATATTTCCAAGGGGTCAAACAAAGTCTTGAATTTATCGAATCGTGAATATATATTGAATTTACAAATTAGAATTTACGTACGCATTAACATAACGCGTTGAAACATAACACAACGTAATTTGATAAAGTGATCTTGCGCAATCGTTCGTTCAAAAACAAAATTTCTATGATTTGAAACTGTGTATATCAATGGTAATAATATTTCCTACAATTTATTCCGATTTATTTTTCATTTGTATATATTTTATCAAATGTTAACGTATACTGCACAACTAAATTTATCCCTAGTATGCAATTAAGAAGATTTTTAATGATACGTTACAACTATATATCGACGATTCGTAAAACGACGATCATGATCGTTAGATAATCGCCAATTAAATGTAACATATGGTCCGTATAGAGAAGAGTAACACTTGAATTCTATCGATGTCGCATTCAATTATATACAATACTTATTTATTGTTAGATACAAATCGCATAATTAGACGTAGCCATACGATAGGCAATTTAACGAATAAATAAGTCAAGATAAAGAAAACAATCGAATCTAATGTCATACGTTTCTAATGTAAATCGATTAACAACTACGTAATTGTAATAGAAGTTGTATTAGAAAATAAAACATGATATAAAAAGAGTATAATTATTGTTCCCGTTATAAGATAGAGAAAAAACAAAAAACAATACGATCGAATTTATATAAACATTTAACAACATTTCAATATAATTTTCGCAGAATAGAAAAAATCGTTGGTAGACGACAAATCGATTTCCAATCGTCTCTGTGTAGAAATACTTTATGAGTTACTCTTCTTTTGTGTACACTACGACCAACTAGGAACAGTTAGTTTATTTGACGAGAAATTTCTTATAACTTATAGATCAAAAGAACTCGCGTCGTCGTACGTTAAGTCGGTTTAACATTTAGATCATCAACTTAATAAACATGAGAGCACGCCTATAAAAGAATCGATTGCTAACGATGAGTTCATGCTCTATCAAATAAACGTATAAAACTTATAAAATTTACTTTATTCATAATTATATAGACTAATTCATTTTAATAAATGGTCACCGAAATAATCTTTTTTTTAAAGAGATTTTAAATCATTTTTTTTTAGGTTGGCAAAACCCACGAGGAGATGGATAAGATAGCACGTTTATTACCATACGTTTCGCATAAGGACGAAATTGTTGAAATATCAGAACTTATTGATCCCAGCAAGTTACTTCCCGGTAAGTTTAATTAGAAAATCTTTTTAAATATCGAACGCTTAGATCAATTAAGAACGATTCATAGTTGTGTTTATTTCCGTACTTCTCAAAAGGAAGAGACAAATATCTATCGTATTTAAAAAAGAAAACAAGTATTTCTCTTTGTAACAATCATCTGCTTACAATTAGTCTTTTAGCTTGGCATTTACAATTAGATTTATTTTGAAATATGACGAGATAAACGAATAGAGGTGGTCGTAGAAATTAGTTTTGTCCTTACTGAACTGTTCATAGTTGTGTTTATTTTCTTCCTTCTCAAAATGGGAAGGACAAATATCTGTCATATTTAAAAAAAGAAAAAATATTTCTCTTTGTAACAATCATCTGCTTACAATTAGATTTATTTTGAAATATGACGGGAGATAAAAGAATAGAGGTGGTCGTAGAAATTAGTTTTGTCCTTACTAACAAATCAAAATTAATATATCGTCGATTATCACGGATCTTTTAAAACGAAAAATAAATAAAGAGAGAGAGAGAGAGAGAGAGAGAGACGTACCAATCGAAACTGAATGCGATTCTGAAATGTGATAATAAGATACTGTGTCAACTAATAATGAAATGCACTAATAATGTATAATACACTCGCACCGTAAATGCGCATGCATAGTGCGCGGCGGTGGACGAGCCAACACGCAGAGATGCGCTAATCCGTGTATGCGTTGGGCCGACCGAATCATACGTCACGAGAACAAATTGGATTTTCAAGGTTCGTATGAATGCCTTGAACTACATATGTATGTATGTGTCGTATAGTCGTTCGAATCGTGAGTTCCGCGCTCGACCGTATCTCCATCGTTATTTTTTTTTCTTTTCATTTTTGATCATTCAGAAGTGAGAATGTGCAAAGCAAAGAGAGAGAGAGAGAGAGAGAGAGAGAGAGAGAGAGAGAGAGATAAAGCGAAAAGAACAAAAAATCAAGGAGAACGTTCGAAGCGTATCGCGATCGATCCTTGTGAAATTTCATTGTCAGCCTTGAAGTTGAATTTTTTAAACTTACTTTTTTTTTCTTGGGTGTTTTTTTTCATTTTTCTCTTTAATTATTGTTTTTCACTTGTGTGTATAAAAACAAACATTGCTCGTCGGTTGCAAATTTCCTTTTTTCAAGTAAATTTCTTGCACTCGTCTATCTTTAACACTGGGTTTACGGGATGCGTGTCGAATTTCATTTTCAAACAAAATTACAAAAAGTGTTAAAATTTTATTTTTTTTTACCACTTCTACTGACTTTTATTCATTTAACGAAGGAAATATATAGTTCTATCGAAAGTATTCTAATATTAAAATTTTCTATGTGTTATAACTATACCTACGGATATGCGTCAATTTGACGCGATCGTAATGTAAGCATAAATGTTATTAAATTGGTTTCATCCGTGCAAGCACTAAGCCAGTAATGAATATGAACGTGATAAGAGACGTAGTTTTCTCTCTGAGAATGTAATTCTGTCAATTGTAAACATATATAATGCAACGGTAATACATACCTCGATTCCACTATCTAAAATTAGTGTTGATAAGCCAGATAAGCATCACCGGTTATGCCCTATGTATTTGCGTTGGAAAGTACTGATGCATAAATGGGATAAGCATCGGAAGAAAGAAAAAAACGCAAAATGCTAATTACAGCCATATCGTGAAGACGTTTGTGAAGTTTTAATTGCTATTAGTTTGTGCAACTGAGAAAAAAATACTAATGTGCATTTCATAAATTAATAATATTATTGTGTAATTCAATATTACATTATTTTGACAAATAGCTTCTTCTTTGTCATCTAAATAAATCTAAAAGAGAAATAATAATATTTTTTAAAACATAGTCGGAATAAGTAAAAAGTTTTCTCGTATGAATTGTTAAGTGGAAACACGAAATAAACGTAAAATATAAACATATTGTTAATACTAAAATATTATTGAATAATATGAATTTCATATAAATATATATCTCGCATTTTCATGTTTAAATTTATAGCGTATGATTATATTGCTTTTTAAGTTATTATTTCTTTCTTTATTAAGAAAAATATATGTTTTAAAATGACGTGTATCCGTTAAAGTAAGAATATAAAGAAATATCTGTAAACCTAGCGTTAGCACACGCATTGTCACTTTTGATCGTATTTTGGCATCTTTTAATATTTTCATCATTTCATTTGCTTGATTGATCTAATTGATCATTTTATTATGATTTTCTTCTTTCTTATTGCTACGTATTACGAAATAACGAATAAATTGAATCCTTGCATGAGAAACGAATGGTTTTTGGTTTATTCGTACGTTTTTGTAATTTTCACAAACCCTAGAGGATACTAATATTATTTCGAGATACATACATTAACTTAATGATGTAATTTCATTAGTATTAGTTGTGTAACGTCGTCGTCCATTTGTCCAACCGATTAGAATTTTCCTCGTCGATGGCTTCCTATTTAATCATAATTTTATTCTATTGTATATTTTTATTGTCACCTTATTGGATTGCTTCGTTTATATTATCAACGGCGCCGTCGCTTTTCTGATTAATAAATGGAATTAAGTAAGTGGTACTAAAAATAAAATTACATTTTTACCTTCTATTCGAGGCAAGATATAATTTACTATGTATGAAGGAAACATTAACTAACTATTATTCATAAATTTACCCTCATCACGATTATTCCACTATTCATCGATTTTTTTCTTCAAATTTGCTTAACGAGGAGAAGGTGGTGTATCATAATTTATCCAAAACGTTACGATTTCATTGGGTACATTATATAATCCAATGTTTTTCTTTTCTAACACTTATTATTATCACTTTTTTGTCCTACATCGAAAAATAAACGTTGATACGTTCGTCATACGAATTAATCGTAGCTCGATGTAACAATCAACGGTTTTGTTGCACTCTGCACACTTATTTTCTGATTAATAAAATGATCATACGTACATATGTATGTATGTCATCTCTAAACGTAAATTCGTAAAAATTCTATATTTAATACCCTTTTTTTAACTTGTATTTTGCTTTCGTTTACTTTCAGACGACAACGGTTATTGGACGTATTTGGGATCATTGACAACTCCACCGTTTAACGAAAGCGTCACTTGGATTCTTTTCAAAAAGTACATCGAAGTGTCTCATCACCAGCTCAACATCTTTCGTAATTTAAGAAAATTTCCTCGTGGAGAGGAATGTCCTTGTCATGAGAATCACGGAGTTGTAAGATTATCAATTTATTATTCATTTTTTATATTTGCATATTAACAGTTGATACTTTCTTCATATGTATTGGTACGGTTGAAATTTTTTTTTTTTTTTTATATACAGTAATTTATCATTTCAATTAATCGTTTTACCTTTCTCCTTTACAGGTGATCAACAATTTCCGTCCGCCACTGCCGTTAGGAAATCGCGTGTTAAGAGAATGCGGCAGCCTTTAAGTTTCTTCGGTCCTCACTTCTAACGGAAATCATTCTTGTCGATCGTTAGAAGGATAACACAAGGGTGACGCAAGGATGACGCAAGGATCATTGCAAGGATTCCAAATACCAACGATCATAATCGATGTTAAAATTTGAAATCGATAATACGGAACTTTCATTCGTAAATCTATTTACGTAAAAACGTGCCTTGTGTTTCGTCGAAAATGAGTCATCTTTGATCTCTGCAGGAAGAAAAATGTACCTCCAAAAATGAACAAATATTCTTGATAAGAGGAAAAAAAAAGATATAGAGATGAAATAAGATGAGAGAAAAATATACGAGTCTATTGAGTCAAAGTTTCTCAATGTGTGTGTGTGTGTGTGAATTCATTTTATAATTGTTAAATATTGAATACTTTAATAACTTGATATTTTTATTTCGATATGTTAGACATGTTAGATATTTAATAGGTAGAGAGTAAATTGGAGATTGTTTTAATCGCACTATTTGGAAATTTACTTTGCATAGTATAGTATGCCAATGGTACGGTGCTTCTTTTCTATAGTCATTGTTAAAAAAAGTAATATTATATTTAGATTAAATCAATGAAAAACTTGTGATAAATTATTCTGTTTTAAGTGCAATTAATATTATTTTATTAAATATCATTGCGCTTGCATATTCTATCAATGGTGAATATATGACAATCTTTATATTTGCGAGATAGAAAGGATATAGTTTATGTAACTCTATTTGAAGTCTTCGATCGTAAGATTGGCCTCGTCATTTTTCTTTACTATTGCCAATAATGTTTATGACGTTTCATTCGATGTAATTGTTTTTAAGTTTGATCAAATTTATTCTACACTTTTTTCTCGCTTTATTGTAAATGTTATTCCATTAATTGCTACTCAATAGTTTTATTTGTACAAATAAAATTCATTATGTAATGGAAATTATAATGAAAATAGAAAGGACATCTTCTTTATTAAAAAGAAAAAAAAGAAAAAAAAAAGAAAGAAAAAGGAAAACAACACTCCTTTTTATTGTAACAAATTGTTTAGTTAATTCTTATTGAATATTAATGACGACTGGTACGACATTTTATAGAAATAATTCTAGTCTATTTACATAATATGCATATAACGAATACGATGGAATACTCGATCGATGTTAATGAATATGGAAATTAAAAAATAACTTCGCACTATTAAACTAATGGAAATTTAATAGTTTAATGAAAAAGAGAAATGTTGATATTTTTCTTCCGCTACAGTAAATAATTGTTAAGCATATGAAAAATGTGCCATCTTTTATTAGAAAGTTTACATACTGTCTTATCATTTATGCTGCTTGCTTTAGGTTTGTTTACTACCTTTTGCTCGAAGCGTATGTGACTTTTGCGACAATTATGGACTAACATAAGTATGAACTACAAAGACCTAAGGAGGTACCTTGTCCTCCTACTATGCACGTAATCCATATCAGTACGCATAAGCTTGTATCCCTTTCACTATTGGGTTGGTGTTGGTTAATGTATTAGTTCTGTGTTAGTTGTGACTGAATTTAAACTTTTTAGTCTCTCGTATTTATATTCATCTTTACATGTATGGTCTCACAGTGATCCATTTATGCTAAATACAACACTGTGACTTTACATTTTTCAATTACTGTATTTCGATCGATGACAAACCTCCGTGAAGAATAAGAATTATATAAGTAATAATTAGTAGTACATAGTATAGAAATTTGCGATAAAAAAAAAAAAAACAAGATTCTGTCAATTATTTTGTCAAAAATAATTAAAAAAAAAAAAAAAAGGAAAAGGAGTGAATATCTATATATTCATTACAATATTTAAACACAAATGAAACACCATGCGCGCGCTCCTCAACGTGAATTCATTTTCATACCTCTCATTTTACAAGGTAAAATTTCGAACGCATTTTCTTTAAATAATTACATTTATACGATGAGTATAGGATTGCAGTAACGTATAATGCGAATGATATTTCGAATTTCTTACGAAAAGAAAAATTGCACTGATCATACGGGGCATATTAACATTCACAAATATCGTGAATCTCATGTTAAAACAAAAGAACACGAGTGAAATTTATTTACAATTACATTTTACCGAACCAAACAGATAAATCAGTTGAAATTTAAAGTAACGCCATATATGAGAGAGACCGTTAAAAAATGAATTAATCAGTATGTATGTAATATATATACATATATATGTATATATACCATAATATTAGGGTGGGTCAAAAAAATGACTTATCATCAAACTTTCATGTGTACTGATTTTTGTCTCTGAATATCTTTTGAATGCTTAATTTAATCGCCAAAACATAGGACACCATTTTTATAGAGCAGTTAATTTCCTACAAAAATTTGTATTGTGCACTTTTTAACAGTCATTTATTGTCGAGTTATAAAATTCATAAACAAAAATGAAATTTGTCTAAAAATCATCAAATTTAAATCTTCAATATCATTCAAATGGTGAGGTTTACGGAAAAAATATAAAATACCTTTTTTGTAGAGCATTAAATTTCCTACAAAATTCATCTAGAACATTTTTCTGTACAATCAATAAATAATGAGGTATGAATTTTAATCTATTAGACTGAAAAAAAAAATAAAAAACTGCGATGCGGAGGATCTTCCTATTAAAATTAAGAGCTCATATTTGATGAGAATTGTTTTAAGATGTCTAGCAACCCATTTTTCCGTGGCACTTGTAAAAAAAAAATAATTGATTTTTTTGACCCACCCTAATATATATATGTAAGATTTATTGAATTTAATAGAAGTATTTATTATAATAAAACAAATACTCAAATATTAAGGTTTAATATAATAAGAATACAGAGATAGAAATCGAAAATAACAGTAAGTAACAATAGTTAGGAATCTTAAACTCGTAATTACACTCGTATTACACTCGTTCACTCACAACTAGTTGTACCGAATCAAGAAGGCCCTCGCTGCCTTTTCCACCGCGTTTATATACACATTCACCCCACTAGTGGTCCTAATCACTTCTGTCAATCTTTTTCGAAATCTCTAGACTATTCCAAATCAATTTAAACAAAAGACTTCTTTTCGTTTCCCGGTCGAGAATATTCGGGAGATTTTCGGTTAGCTTACCAACAATAACATCAGACGATATCGTTATACACGCTGTTTTTCTTTCCTTACACACACCCACACACACACACACATATTCATATCGCTACATAACTAGACTCATATTCATATCGCTACATATAGTCAACTCATATTCATATCGCTACACGTATTCGCAAATTTTTCAGCGTTCATCAATTGTTTCACGCATACCATGCACTCGCACTCTTTATCTTTCTCCCACCCTTACATATATATTTATATATAGGGTGATCGGTAACTGATGGTACAAGCGAAAACGGGGTGATTCTACATGAAAAAATAAATCGAAAATATAGAATAAAAATTTTTCGTTTGAAGCTTTTTATTTAAGAAAATCGACTTTGAATTTTCGCAAAATACGCGTGCACTTGATCATGTCTCGTTATAACGGATCTCACTGTAGATCGTTGTCTCGATTGAAGTTATATTGATAAACACTATCAGTATCGATTAGTCTATCATCATGTCTACATACATCAATCGGGAACATACGGACATGATACTTTCGTTAGGTACATGTGGTGGAAACGCATCAGCCGCAGCTAATCATTACAGACACCAGTATCGAAATCGTCAACATCCTGACAGACGAGTTATTCAAAGAGCAGAACAAACCCTCGACGAATATGGTTCTTTTGAACACTTAGACGACATGGTGGTCGTCGACGACGTGTTAGTGTGAATGTTGAAGAGCAAATACTAAAGGACGTGTTGCAACATTCTGACATAAGTGCAAGAAACCTTTCTTTGCGGTATAATCTTAGTTCATCCACGATTCTTCGAATTATATACGAAAACAACTTACATGCTAATCATATCACCAGAGTACAAGGACTCATGCCTCATGATAAGATTTCGCAAAAGGCATTTTGTCATTGGTTGCTTCAACAGCATACCAACGATGCAGAATTTCTGTTAAAAATTTTATGGACCGATAAAGCGAAATTTACAAAGGACAGCATGTTCAATGTCCATAACATGCATAATTGGTAAACTGAGAATCTTCATTCTATTCTTGAAACACATTTTCAAGTAAGATGGAACGTAAACGTCTGGGCTGGCATAATCGGACATCTAATTATTGGGCCATATTTTTTCGAAGGAAATGTAACGTCAGTAGCATATTTCGATTTCCTACAACACAAACTACCGGAATTATTAGAAGATGTACCGCTGAATACTAGAGGAAGTTTTATTTTTCAACAAGACGGTGCATCGTCATATTTTAGTCGTCATATGAGAGATTTTTTAAACCAACATTACCAAGGCTGGATTGGTGGTGCTGGAACAATAGCTTGGCCACAACGCTCTCCTGACTTAACTCCGCTTGACTTTTATTTATGGAGTCATATTAAATCAATTGTCTATTCTGAAGAAATCACAAGTTGCGAGCAATTGAGAGAAAAGATTATTGTAGCCTTTCATACTTTAAAACAATCGAATACGTTAGAAAGTGTTCATAGAAATTTAATTAGAAGAGCAAAAAGTATGTGTTCGGCAGAATGGGCAACATTTTCAGCAATTTTTGTAATAATAAACTTTGTGATTACTTCGTAATTTACGTGTCCCATAAAGACAACGATCTACAGTGAGATTATAACGAGACATGATAAAGTGCACGCGTATTTTGCGAAAATTCAAAGTCGATTTTCTTGAAAACAAAGCTTTAAACGAAAAATTTTTATTCTATATTTTCGATTTATTTTTTCATGTAGAATCACCCCCTTTTCGCTTGTACCACCAGTTACCGATCACCCAGTATATATGTATATTTACTATTGTCGGTCAGCGGACATTGTAATTGGTATGAGCTCATCGATGTTAAAGGTTTCTGACGAATCTCGTTCGCACCTACGATATTTCAACGCGGTAACAATTTATAATAACTTATTACACAATTTTCGGGTAAGATAAATACAGGACACAGATTTAAGAATTGGATTTTTTCCAATAATGAAAACGAGTCGAAGTCAAACGAAATATAATTATTCTTATTAATATTAATATTTACGTTAATAACGATATCGTGTTTTATATTTTAAATTTGTTATATATCAAACAATACGTTCATCGTCAAAAATCAGTATATGTTTAAATTCAATTACGTAAAAAGTGAGGAATTTTTTTTTCAAGAGATAAAATATAACAGTTACCGTGTAAAAATATGAGCAATTTAAATAGACTAGGCGGAAAAGAATCGAATTGCCAGTTTGCGGTTCTTTTATTATTATTTTCATATTATTGCTTTACCTTTGAGGAAAATTTTTCATTTCTATTTATATATAATATGTTGAAAATTAATTAGATATCTTGTGAAAAATAATGTTTAATTTTATTAATATGTAAGAGGAAAAATTGAAATTCGCGGTTCCACCTACAGCGCCACATGGCGTTTTAAAACGTAACTATACTGCCTCCCACTCGGATCATCCTAACGGCAATGCGAATGTGCCAATTTGACGCAGTATCAGAAAGATTTCTGTTCGTAGTTCGTCGGTGTCTTCGTCTCGAGGAATTTCTTATTACTACTTCGATTTTCAACATGGCTATCTGTAAGTTAGATCGATTAAATATCTTTTTTATCTTTTTTTTATACAATTCATCGTTATATCAAACGAAATACTTGCAAAATTAATTTTATTTTTTTACTCGAATAATTTTTCATCTCATCTTTTTATTATCTCGATTGCTTTTGTAAGAATCATTTTACGTCTCATAACACCCACATGTGAATAACATTATCAAAATGTTCGCGATAGAGAAAAATTCGAGTTAATAAATAATAATCTAAAGTTGAAAGAAAATTGATCATGCAAAACGAACGTGGATTATAGTTTTCCGCATATATTGCGTAATTAAATATAATGAGCTACAATTACTAACATTCATATAGTTTAGTTTGACAATGAATCATTATGTGCATCGTACGTGCATAACAATAGTGAAACACACTGACATCATGACATAGAAAGTATCTATTCTTTCCTATCTCTATTCTTGTTTGATTCACAGCATTTCAATGAATATTACAAAAATCGAATGATTATAATAATATAATTTATTAAAATATATATAAATATATACTTGATGGCGTTTTATTGCCATTTTGAAATTTTCTCTATTAGTTTTTACCGAATAGATTTATACGATGATAATAGTGAAGATTAGATGATCTATTCAAAATATTTATGATCTACTCAATCTCTTTAGGACTTTGATGTGCAAAAAAACCAGAAAAAAAAAACAAAAAATAAATCGTTCTCAGAAAGAAGCATCTTGTGTACGCGCCTCTAAAAATAGTCTACAGTCATGCCGGTTGCGGCATGGCTATTGTAACGGTTTGACAAGCAAGACACGACATATTTGTAAATATCTATTATACATATTATGTATTTTGCTAGAATTAACTATTGTAATAGAAAGAAAAAGAAAATGCGTGGTTTTTTTTAAATAATATTTTTAAGAGAGACTTCATCGTTAGAAATTCAACTATCGTAAAACTCAACACAACCGAAAAAGAAAGTAGAATTGATGATATTTTAAACTAGGTACGATCGGAAGGTATCTACTATAAATAGAAACGACTCACCCATTGGAATTTTCTCCGACAAGATCGGTTGTCCCAATATTCCTTTCAAAATTTGGGTATTTTATTCGAGGCGTCTTATATAGGGTGTCCCATATAAATTTTTTCACGATTTTTCAAGTACTTGCGATAACTACCATGGTATCTAGTTCGTTGAATTCGTATTAATATGGGCTATAATACTGTAAGGTCAACAATGTAGGGTGCAATTTAAAAAAATAAAGGTAGCCTTAAAAAACATGAAAAAAAAATAATTTTTTAAACTTTTTTTTATTGAAATGTATAGTCAATTAAAAAAAGATTAACTTTTGTTTAAAGTATTTTTTTTTTGTCAGGTTATCGTAAATACTTAAAAAATCGTGACAAGAGTTATATGGGACACCCTGTATATATATAGTTATACTATAGTTATATATTTTATTATTATAGTTATATATAATTATATATAGTATTATAGCTATATTTAGTATTATATTATTATAGTTATATATATATATATATATATATATACACTATATATACAGGATGTTCCATATAACTCTTTTTATGATTTTAATATATATAGTTAGATACATATCTATAGTTTCCCTCGTTCAATGTTTTGTGTACCATTCTAATGCTATTGACGAATCGTAAAGATATATAATATTTTATTCATTTTTCTCATACACATACGCGTAGATTTTACATATCGATCGTATTTCATTGAAATTAAGAAAAATGGTATATTGCTAAATATATTTAATTAGGACATTTCGAATTTCTTTGCAACGTATTAAGGAAGTAAAGAGTTCTATGAAAGAAAATGTGTTGCGAGTAGTAAACGAGAGACAGTTGCCATGGGAGGTCAATGGCATCGAGGAGAAGGTACACTGTTCTAAATTGTTTTCCGCGTTACAAGCTGAAAAAATTCAAGTATATGAGTATCTCTTCTTTTTTCTGTTTTTTCTTCTTTTTCTAAAACAAAAAAAAATACCTTTTATCTTTATTTGATAGTGAAAATCGTGTGTGACAAAATTACGATTTATTCTAATGAAATGAAATTTCGATAGGAACGTTTTATATATTCGTGAATAAATCCTACTTTTAACCAGAATTCAATTTTTGCTAATAATATACACAGTAGTCTACTCATGTTTCCTCCAGCAAGTTCTAAAAGACCAACATTATCTGCTAAAAAAAAAAACGACTCGATAAATAGTAACGAGTTAGACCTCCTTTTTTTATTAGATACCACACAATTGAAGTAACTCTTGTAACTTTCTTTTTTTCAAAATACAAATTACGTTCTTCTCAAACACATTATCTAGAAAATCTTTATTTCGGTACATCAAAATGAGCAGCTTCGTAATCGTGATTACCGAAATAACGAGATTCATCGTTGCGCAATGACTAATTCGCTCAATTACACTCATTTTCTCGGTGTTATGTTAATTACGAATACAGTACGTCCTACATTATTGGACAAAGCCAATTCGAAGACGTTAATATTTTCCGTGAGTCGTTGCGTCACTTTCGTAGAAAATTTTATTAGCAGCATGTTAATAGTCAAGACAACGATGCGTGTATTCTCGTCTTGTTGTTTATAAAATATTTATCCTTTTTAAATACGCTTAATAAGGTTTTGCAGCTGTTCTGCATCTGTTAAACGACTGATCGAAAACATGTCGCTATCGTAGAATGATTTTTTTTTTACTTAGTAACGAGCACTAACTTTAACGATATTTCCTATATTTTATTTCGATAATTATTAATTTTTATTATACGACGATGAATCACACGTTGTCGTCTTCGTCGTCGTCGTAATAGTAGAAGCGGTTGACCTTCGAGTGTTAACCTAAGATTACAACCAAGAATCCACAATATTGAAAAGAATTTCAAGCATATAGTTAGCCATATTTTTTTCGAATTTAACAATGAGATCCGTTATAATTATAATCACATAAAATATATTAATGCATGCGTTATGGGGACAATAATAGTATTAGGTCGTCGCGAAAATTTCTTCCTTTTTCTTGGTGATAAGTTGCACGATAATGTATGCATAATATTTTTTATGTTATTTTACTAAATAATATCAATTCTACTCTATATTCCTTTTTTCTTTACTGTATATTATTCAATATAAAAAATATTGTGCGCGCAAAATGATTTAAAAAAGAAAAAAAAAAAAAGAAACTTTCGGGAACTATCGCGTCAACTATTGATATTTTGATGACCTTTACTTAATACTTTTTAACGCAGAATAAAAAAAAGGAATCGAATAGTGTAAAAAAAATATATATAAAGTTCTATTTAAAAAAAAGTTTAACTGCATCTAGCGGGTGCATCGATGCATCTTCAAAAAAAGTAAGGTCATAGAAAGTTGACATTTGTTGTGCCATATAACTTTTTCTTTTATGATTTTTTTCTATTGTTACTTAAAAAAAGGTATTACCCGCTTCCGTTCCAAGAATCACCCTGTATAATAAGCAGGTATTTTACAAATTGCCTGGTCATTCTATAGAATAACCGAAAAGTTTCGATTGATTTATAAAATATACTCCAATTGGGTGTATTTAGCTCACGAAGGGGGAGAGAGGGGGAAAACATCCGAAGCTATTGTAAATTAAATAAACCATGAAAATTTAAACAATACTCTTCTCCTCGTGCTTTAAATACTTTTAATTTTTAATTTTAGATTGACCAAAACTCTCTGGGCATTCTGTAGAATGTTCTAATCGCATTAACACATACACTGTATTTTATCATAGTTTCTTCGCGTCTCTTAATAATACGATAAGATCTTTGTAGAATTTAGATCATCTACATCCTCTTAAGTGAAGTAATATAGTCTTAAATATGAAATGACATCATCTTATAATGACGTTTACTCACGACTGACATCGACCGACTCGTCGATGACCTCGAATTACCTACTTATTGATTAACTATGAATTAATTTAACGTATATATATATATATATATATGTAAAAGGTAGAAATGGCTAGAAAAATGTATCCTTTCTTTTATGATGTTGATGAATAACCTTCGTTTGAAAAGTAACTTTCGCAGTATAACTTCTCCATCTACAACATACATATATACATACATACATATTTACATACATATGTAT